TTTTTGTGTAACATTAAATTTACCATTATAATTGAAAAGCATTCCTAAGTAATTGAACTGATTAACAACTTGCAGCTCTATGTTATCATATATCCACTTTTCGTTATTCCGTATTATGCCACCATTCCTGAAAACTACTATTTTCGTCTTTTCTGTATTTAATGTAAGCTTATACTTGTTATTATATACTTTCAGAGCATCCATAACTTCCTGTAGTTTTTCTGGTGTTTCTGCAAATAAAACCATATCGTCAGCGTACATCAACAGAAAAATATTAATCAAATTAAGTTCAATTGAAGGACATCCTTCCTTGATAAAATGTATTTCACAATCGTTCACGTACATGGTGTACAAAATCGGTGATAATATTTCACCCTGAAAAAGACCAATCGTATTTGTGAAATAGTCAGAATAACCCCCATTATGCTTTACACATGATTTCACTTGTTTACTCCTTTTCCGTGGACACAATTATATAGGTAGTTCATTGTTCTAAAACAGTTCAGTGTTTTAGTATCCTAAAATACTCGATTGGTATTATGTCTGACCCGATTCTCCGGGAGAGTAAATCGAGCGCACACTCACTAGGGATACGCCCGCGAGAGATTCTAAGCTCGGTAACAGTGTGTCACAAGGTCAAATATACAAAATGGTGATAGAAAGATAATTCGGAATCGGGAACCGTCGGCACTTTTCGTAAACGAGAAAATCCTCCTGCCGACGGTTCCCGATTGATAATTGATAACTCTGTTACAATACACAAAGACATTTCATAGAGAAAAGTGCTAATTTAATGGTAACTGATATGGTATACATTAATGTGACATAATAGTTTCAATATTATTAAAGTAAACTGTAGAACAAGTTATTATAAATTATACATTGAAAAAAGGTTGTATTTGAACCAGAAGTGAATCCATCATCATCATCATCATCATCATCATCATCAGTTGGTATACAAATCGATCATCTTTTAAAGTGTATGAAACATCCCCCTAGCGCCTCAAAACATGGCAACATACAACAGTTAATGACAGTGGCGTAGATTTTTTGACAAAGTACGCAGTTGATTTCAAATATCTTCATGCATGGGGATAGAAACCATACATGATAGAACGCTATGTAGGCGAACTCACAGCCCCATTCCGCTGCAATACAGATACCACAGAAGAGGGTGAGGAGTTTGTAGCAGAGACCCTTCCAGCATTCGAAACACATGTAGGACAGCTTCCAGACGCAGTCGATACTGTGGGTACCATCGGGCTCACCAAGGACATCGTTAAACAAAAGTGTCTTAAAATAAAACAAAATTTACGGTCAGATAACATTGGCACGGTTCCTTTTTCCATTCGTTACTTTTAAAGATTATAAACTTAAACATAACTCTACAGCAAATATTGCACTCAAACTGTGTGTATGGGTTTCTTTTTGCTTTTTTTTCGTCCCGTTTCCTTCTCGAAACACCTCAGATAAGCGCAACATTTGGCTAACCCATTGTTAGTATAATGTGACCGGGATACTGTGTTTGGCGCCTTCGTAACTGTGTTTCAGTGAGGTAACACTCAAATTTCGGCATCAGATCCGCGCTTTGTAAAGGAAGTAAATATCCAAACATACCGCCCCGAAGACACCCATTACACACATAGAAGAAAATCATAAATTAATTTTTATGTTAAAAGAACGCTTATCCCAATAAACCTAACAAGTACACACTAAAACTACAAAAACAATAGAATGGTGGACAAAATCAATAAAATTAATGTCTAAAGCGATAAAAATAAGTAATAGTCTTTTTTGATAAAACTTTTCCTAATGAAACTGTATAAAACTAAAAGAATGATTGGTTACATAATTAATAAATCAGATATTTTTAGTATATAAGAATATTGCTGAAATAATATTAAAAGTGAAGATACCAACCCCTAAATGGGCGTTAACTCCGTTCGGGTCCCGGGACACCAGATCCAGCTGGTCGTCAGCCATAATACTAGTGGATGTTTAAGGATGAGACCGTTTTGACACTACGCCCTTCCGATCAGCACCGAATGTCTGCAATTAATGGCGATTTGTGTCCGAAGTGTAAGTATTTTGATGTGAAGAGAGACAGCGCGTACCTAGCACCGATGTACAACTGGGTGGGCAGTAACAGACTGGACCATTATATTCCCGAGATTGAACCTTCCAGTGGACCACCTCGTGGGGCCAAAGCTACTTAGGTGATTATCATACTTCCTATTGTTAAAATCATTGCTATGTTAAACTGCTATTGCCATTAGCCCTGGTTCACTGTTAAACATTGACCCCCAAACCCTTAACACATTCCTTACGACTATTTCTGTGCTATCAAGCGTTATAGATATATCTCAGGAAAATGATGTAATAAAAAAATGTAGTTATCGTTACAAAACATACTTTAAGAGCTAGTTTCCTGTTGGATACTTCTCCATAGATGTTTTAAACAGTTTGCGTATTTACATATTTGGTATTCGATTTGCTTATTAGTCCCCCATCGGTTCCCAGGTCCCATGGGGGGGGGGGGGGGGGGGGAATTAGGGGTTTGCACTCCGTCCGTCCGTCCGTCCGTCCTTCAGACTTTTCTTCCGAAAAAGTTTGTCCGTGGCATATCTTTTATACTATTTCACATGGATTAACCAGATTTGGTGTACAAGGACATCTTGGGAAGACGGAATGAGGAGTGGAAGAAGAAGGTCGCTATGACCTCACTGTGACATATGCTTTGACCTTTGACATTAACTTTTGAAAAAGTTAGATCGGGGCATATTTTATATAATACTTCATATGGAGTAACCAGATTTGGTGTTCAAGGGCGTTTTGGGTTGGCGGAGTGCATAGTGCAAGAATTAGGTCACTGTGACCTATTACTTGACCTTTACTTTCACTTTTGAGAATGGTTTTCCGGGGCATATCTTCTATACGACTTCACCTGGAGTAACCAGTTTTTGTGTACAAGGACATATTGGGATGGCGGAGTGCAGAGTGCAAGAAGAAGGTCACTATGACCTCACTGTAACATATGCTTTGACCTTTGACTTTAACTTTTGAAAAAGTTAGTTCGGGACATATCTTCTATAATACTTCATATGGAGTAACCAGATTTGGTGTTCAAGGGCGTTTTGGGTTGGCGGAGTGCATAGTGCAAGAATTAGGTCACTGTGACCTATTACTTGACCTTTACTTTCACTTTTGAGAATGTTTTTCCGGGGCATATCTTCTATACGACTTCACCTGGAGTAACCAGCTTTTGTGTACAAGGACATATTGGGATGCCGGAGTGCAGTGTGCAAGAAGAAGGTCACTGTGACCTATGACTTTCACTTTTGAAAATGATTTTCCGGGGCATATCTTCTATACTACTTCACCTGGAGTAACCAGTTTTTGTGTACAAGGACGTCTTTGGATGGCAGAGTGCAAGAAGTATGTATGAGGATACTTTCCTAAAAATGGTTACATCCTGACATAAAAGTACTGTTTGTAAAATATAGAAATCATTACCGGTGGGAGACTATGGATCGCCTTGCAATTCTTTGCCTTGCTTCCATATCTTTTTGACTCAGTTTGCATGTTTGACCCAGAAGTATTTGGTATTACCAAGCTTATTGCCCAGTAGATATGGTAGTTCTATAATACCGTTAGACATATTTATCTGACACAGTTTGCTTATTGAAATGCCAGTTTGACTCAGTTTGCTGCTCGTTTTGATTTGTTGATTGGCTCTGGTGTCTCCTTCTCATGGCCTTCCTCTGTCTACGTTCGTCCTGATATTGCCCCTCTTACTGACCCGGATGGAAGCGCACAGGGCGTATTAAAACTGGAGTAAATCGAGATTCATGAAAAAAAAAATCACGAAAGAAAGCGAAGGCCCCAACATTTACTTTTCTTCATACTTTATTTAGTATTAGTTCCAGCAAATTCTGTTCGATGCTCTCTGATATTTTTTATGATAAAAGAATGCAGATTATTTTGTTTGTGATGGCGTAAAGGATAATAATAGTTTTTCCTGCTTTATGAAATAATGTTAACTGTTATATTTCAAAATCATCGTTCATTTAAATGAGAAAAGTTTCTTTTTCTTTTTTTAACAATTCAAAAGAAACATGTAAAAACCATAAACTCATCAGCTTAAAGGTCCATATACAGTTACGTAAGGTACGGGTTTCTATCTATCACCCCTATACCAATGCCGGGAAAAGATTCCAGTTCATAGTTTAAAATTTTGGCAGTGGTGCGGGTTTCCTCATCCTCGATATCAAGAAGATACGCTCACTTTTGCTCTCTACACCCCTTGAATATGAGAAGACTAGTTCGATCCTTTGATATACATCATAAGAATCTCGCGGTCACGTAACGGTAAAAATTGACAGGCTTTGAAGTCGGGCGTCTCTCCTTTGTAATCTTCAAAGGACAGGTATCAGCCTAGCGATTGGTTAGTTGTTTTTTTCCTGAGACCAATTAAAAAGCTATCTTCGTGCCTTCAATTTTGCTATGATATATTCCAGGGGTGTAGTAAGCAAAGTGTGCGTAGCCCCTGGATATCGAGAATGGTGTTTCCTTTAATGCAATGTTCAATGTTGTTACTTTCATAGCCCATGTACCGTGTGGGTACTCCACCGCAATATAATGTCTACTCCGGGGCTCTTTGCCAGCTCAACATTCAGCAATTGTGAATTCAATTTCAACAAATAAATGGATGGCGAAACGTTTTCCCACCGCTACCGAATTACTGATTTGTAGATTTCACAAATATACCTCCGCGGTGTGACTTAATTAACGTGCGATGTTCATGAGCAGTAGTGCTAATGTTATCATTGTGCTTTAAATGCACTTTTATGATCATAACAATGAAAACTATCAAATAAAACTGTACGTATCGACATAAATTGACATAAAACATCTGTAATTTTTGTTGTTTTCCACGGACTATTTTCGGCAATTTCCATCACAGGACAATGCGCGTGCGTAGGGGCGAAACAGGTCAACATTTCAGAGGATATTGGCGGGATATTCAAATATTTCATATAGTCATTATCTTTTTAAGGACAGAAACGCATGGATCTGTAAAAATAAGAATTAAACTGCTTTAATATGCCATTCATAGGCAATATGAATGCCAACTGTATTACAGGAAAATAAAACATGAACCGGATGTAATTTTTCTGTAATGCAGTGGGCATTCATATTGCCTATGGATGGCACCTTAAAGCAGTTTAACTCTGAAATAACCATGTACGTGTATCATTTCGCAATATACCATGACCGTGAAATTCTCTTCTAAAAGCCTGTTCCGTATTGCAGACCTAAACCGGTGAGCCATCGGACTAGTTGCCTATGTCGAATGAGGGTACATGTATTTACTTTTGAGTCTATATAATAATTCAGGATTCGGAAATGTTAAAAAATTATTCACTCAAGCTGACGCAGCATTGGTATTTTCTCAACCTCGTTTTATATTCCACCAAAGTTCATGCACATTATTTCTAAAATACAAAACGAAGTTAAAATAAAATGCATGTATTGGATAAAATTCTTTTTAGTTATAAACGAAGGCAGCTGCGGCATAAGTTTATTATGTTCGTAATATTTTTGAATCCCACCATGATATACAAACATATGTTGATTATATCTAGTCTACCAACTGGAAATGCTATTGAATGTGCTTTGGTATCTACTTCAGTGCCGTTTTAGGCAATGTGACCAATTACGTAAATGAGGCTATTTCATTGCGCGTGCAAATATTTATCCCGTAATGTCTCGATTTAATTTCACTAGCAAGATGATATCACAGCAGACCATTTAGTAGAATAGAAATAATGTATGTAAATTTGTATATTGTGGTAAAATATATACCGAAAAAATGTGTGCACTTTGCAAAAAATCAGCTCGGGTGCTTTTTTTTTTTGTTTTCGGTATATACCGTATACCCCCAAAAATGAATATGGTTATCCTGATTTCAATGTCAAAGTCATTTCCTGGCTTTCTTTTGATTTCCAATTTTGATAAAATTTAACATCTTGTTAGATACGATCCAGCTTTATTTCCTGGTAATATTCATATAATCATCCGTAGTTCAGTTATCTAGATATCACTTTCCATCCAAACATAAAAGATATACCGTAATAATGATATCTTTATTACTAACAGTAAGGGCGGATAATTCTATAGCTTTGTGACAAATTTCATGTTTTTGACGGAAATCGAAGTCAGATATATGTACTTAAGAACATAGAATCCAATAGGGAAAATCACGTAGCGTGAATGATTTATGACACGTCATCTTTAAATAAAACCCAGTAACGTTTGCACCGTGATGAATTTTATCCTACAGAGAAAAGCACCTAAAATTGAAAAATGTGAACATCATGACATTGGCCACAAAGTAAATAAATAATCCAAAATAGAGAAACATTTAAACACCATAGTTTAATATCAATAATATCACATTTCAACATATATTGTCAATGCAAATCTTTTCATTAATATCTCAACTAAGATGTCCATGTCGACAGCGTGTGTAAGGAAGCAACAATACTCGGTAACAAATATCCAATATCATTGTTCATTACATGAAAGATCGTAGTATATTGAAGTCTGTAAGACACTTAATGTTTCTATTTCTTAAAATGAATGAAGAGTCCACCACAAGCCTCCGTACATGGTTGTATGCAACAGTTGATCACCATACTGTAGATCTTCTGGCAGAGTCCACAGTTGATCTCGAATATCTTCATGCATGGGGTGATGAACCAGATATGATAGAAAGCAATGTAGGCGAACTCACAGCCCCATTCCGCTGCAATACAGATACCACAGAAGAGGGTGAGGATCTTGTAGCAGAGTCCCTTCCACAATTCGAAACATGTGTAGGACATCTTCCAGACGCAGTCGATACTGTGGGTACCATCGGGCTCACCAAGAACATCATTGAACATCAACGTCTATAACGGAAGAGGGAACACATTTGTTAAAATCGGGATAAAGGCATAAACGGCTGCGTATTTAAACCAAAATATTACTAATGGACTTTGTTGAAAGACTTTGAATATTGACTGTCTTGTTACCTAGCAACAGCATGCAGTATAGTTTCTACAGAACAGGCAAACACATCATAACGCAAAAGAAGATATTGTTTATGTATTAAAAATAAAGTCGCGAAGCTTATAAAGTAGGTGATCGAATTGCATTTTCTTAACATTGAGGATGATATACATCGCGGCTCCATCACGAACATGTTATCTCGAAGAAACGACGTTACTGGGTATGAATGAAAACTAGTAGTAAGTGTCGGAACCAATGTTTGCTGATTTTCTTACTCCGACTAAATGTGTACCCGAGGATAGTATTTGTATGCCCTCCTTATCAAGATATCGACGATTGAAATCAACTTATATCTGTTAATCACTTTCTATATTAAATTTTATTGAAAAAAGTCTCATTTACCATTATTAATAATCAAAGGTAGAATCTGATATTAAACAAATCTCATTATTTCTCAAACTCACGTTTATTTGGTTTAATACGTGTATTCTACAGTACAAAGATATATTTGAATAATGTGTCTCTATATATGTGACGTATAACATTTATAAAAAGAAACACTGCATAATTTGATAAAATCCATGCTTACAATTACCTATAAATAAAAAAGAACTTACCCCCAAATGGGCGTTCAGGCTATTGGGATCCCTGGCAACTAAGTCAACTTGATCGTCAGACATGGTTGTGGTTTTTGTGAGATGTTGATACCTTGGTGTGTCGACTGTCGAGTGACAATTCGCTGAAGGTTCTTGGTTTTAAAGTAACGCCATTTGTTGGTCACTGTTGTCGTTGACAACATCAGGTTGACTAACGGACTAGCGACAGCTTAAGGTAAAATGCCATATATGTACTTATAGTATTGACCGCTACCACTACCTGTACTGACCACAGTACATTTTTTGTATTGTTCGCTCTATTGCTTGAAATAAGCTTTAATTACATCTAGTTTACCTGTATCATGTCGTATCAAGTTTTGGCACAGTGATTTATTTTATTATTTCAATAATGTGCAAATGATATAAATATGAAAATGTTCAAACGTGGATTGATTTTATGTATGCTATACTTGAAGGGTCTTTTATTTAAAGGAGCGCATTATAAAAAATGTCCTGTTCATGTCTTCTTTGCACTAACTAGTCATGCCGGAAAATTCAAACTGTCACTTCATTCGCCGCCGTCCGCCTGATGTCTTGTAAGATATTCATGGAATGACAATGTGCTATTCATTCATCTATATTCATTTATCTTTATTTTCGTTTATTCGTTCATTCAATCAGTCGTGTTCATTCCTTCATTTATACGTTTGTTCATTTTTACAATCACGCATGTTCGTTCGTTCTTTTACATAGATTCATTGATATTTTTTTCCATTTATATTTACACTTTAAAAGATCCATTCGTTCAATTGTATTCATTCGTTCTTGTATTTATTCGTTCTTTTAGTGTTTCATTTATAATCATTCATTTATATTCATTTATTCACATTTGTTTTCCATTTTAATTCATTCATGCATAAAATTAATGCATATTCATGCAATCATATTCATTCATTAACAGTCCTCGATATTCATTCATTCTCATTCATTTGAGCATCATTATCAAATTGATTGATTGATTCTTCATACATTCAATGGGCAAAACACGAATGTCACACACAACATAAACACAACTAAAACCGTAAAATTTACATGTATATTGAAAGAAACTATGAATCTTGAATAACGATAAACATATATTTTTCTACATAATTTCGTAGGTAGTGTTTGCGCATATAAAAAGAATAGCGAGAAGTGTGTGTGTGTGTGTGTGTTGGTGGTGGTGTGTGTGTGTGTGGNTTTGAAAGGTCAATTGAAACGACAGCACTTAAACGAGCAAATATCACATTTTCATATTTTGTTTACTGACTTATTTTGAGAAATAAAATCCTGGAAACTTTATATCAATGAAGGAGTACGACATCTTTTGTAATTTGAATTAATAAAACGTTCCAAACCTGTTATAAACTCCGTTTATGAGGAAGAAACTTTCTCCCAAACAGAATATAAACATTACAAATTGCTCTTATTCGGAAGCATCGGAAGGAACAAAATTTTAAAAAACGGATTCTTTTGAAAATTATTTATGTCCAATATGGTTTCCAGGCAAGGTTGAAGATAAGGTTTAATGTTGTTACTTCTGTTTTCTCGATCGGATTGCGATGTAAGTAGGAAATCGTATAGCGTACTAATAAAATACCATTACAGTAACCTTGTACCTAGTCGTCTCCCTACAGAGAATGTATATCTAACGTTTATGTGTTAACAAAGGATTAGGGTCAAAGGCCTTCGGACGTAATTTGTAAAGAAATGGCACCATAAACACTGACCAGGTTGCCACAACACTGTGGCACAAAACTGACCCCAGCAAACCGAAACCTATTCCTACGTTGGGGTTCCATAAATTTGGTTTTAAAGGAATCCTTAGAAAATGTAAACGGTAAATAAAAACATTTCTCCTTTTCCGTTAAAAGAGAGACACGAAGTTGGTGTTGGAATAGGATGTTTGCTAATTCACATGAATACATTTTCTATATGAAAGCGAGTTTTAACGGTCAGATGCCCCTTCGGAACCTTGAACACACCTACTTGGTCCATGGTTTTCATTCACAAAACAAAATAAGGATATGTTTGTGTAAAAGCAGTGGGAACAGAGCTTACACTTAAGTCTGGTAGGAATATCAAAATTATAACTTGTAATCAGCTTAGTTTCACAAGCAAGCAAATCGAGGCTGTTAAATACTTAAATCAAGACGTGACGCAGACACCTCGTTTGATTTTTGTTTTGATTAATAAACGCATAGAGATAGATGAAATGTCACCTGCTAAGATATGTATATCTAACAATATTCTCAACAGATATTTAATTATTTTACAGGCTTTATTTTATTGGACCATGTATAAGAACCACTTGTTATAATACCGGAGTATCAAAGGATAATCAGCCTCCCTCCCTCTGATCAAAACGATAAAGGTCTGCACTGTGTACTATTTTTATTTAAAAAGAAAATGTAATAATTGCGCCAAATAATGAGACATTAAGTCATTTGACTACAACTTCCTGTTCCTGAGGTCTGACACAACATGAACAAAGGGATACACGTACCAGTATCACCAACCTGAATACTGTGTCGTAACCCGTCTTCCTGTAATTGTTATAAGCATAAAAACTCCTAGTGTCTTGTTTTTGTATATATATTTATAACGACCGTACTCGCTGACGTTACTTAAACGCCTTACGTTACATGTCCAATGTTTTATGAGATTTTTTCTCCTGATCACATTTTCTCCTTCAATTAACATTATTTAAGTGTACATTCGGGTAGTTTGTTTCCCCCTTTCATCATTATGCTACCTTTTTCGTGATTGGAGCGTATCTGATTGCATTATAAGGTAAACTGTTTGTTTTACAAGCTTTTCATTTTATATTATACCTACAGGTTACATTATATAGTGTTTATCTCTCTCTGTCTATCCTACTATATTCGTCATAGTGTTTTATACACTACGGGAGGGGGACATAATGTTACCCAAACAACACGGGATGAGTTTTGCCAAAATGAAAATCTTAAGAATGATTCGAATCGAACATAATGTGCAATGCCGGAACGTCCACATTTACCATTTGGAACATGAACGAAACTAGAAATAAAAGGTCATATTTAAGATGTTTTTGGAATTCAAACATGTGAATTCTGTCAAAGATAATATGAGAATATGATGTCGACTTCAAGAGAAATAAATAACAGTTTTTCTCCTGCCCACACAACTCCAACAACCCAGGTGGTGTATACATTGGTCCGGGTGGATGTGCTGTAGCATTCAAGTGGGGTGGCACAATAAATGATGCCGTTGGAAGCACGGTCCCACTACAAACAGAACACATTACATCTCCAACACATACACAGGCATACACACATAGGGAGATATTAGCCAGGTGACATAGGACTAGTAGGAAGCGCCTGATAAGGCAGCTCCTGCAAATTCCTCAAGCATTGTATTGATTGAGGTATATGCTAATTGTATTAATTGTATATCTATGTACTGTAACGCGCTTTAGAGTGGCTTTTGTTAGCTAGATAGGGCGCTTTATCAAATGTTGTACTTTCAAAGCACGAGGTGTATTTTTACTCATTGTTTTGGTATTTTACGTATATATAGTACATTATTGGTTACATCAAAGAGAATGAATAAGTCACCAATTGCGTAGCATAGTGAATGTTACGTGTAGATGTTCTGACTAAGTTCAACACGCACCAACCGATTTGTAAATATTCTATCCAGAACCGCAAGGGTAGCTTTCAAATCAATATACGACCAATCTATACATTGGCAAGAATATAAATTCAATACACCTTTGTAAATACCATTGTAGGTCATTTTAACAGAATTGACCATTTAACTGGACAATACCTGGCAGTGGAATGTTACTTGACCAATCCATTGACAGCCAGGTAAGCGTAATTGAACAGGGAACGGCTGTTCGACATTGCGTCACTATTTACAGGTGTCGGGAAAACATCGAAATATATATATCTTTAAAAAATTGCAAATAAGAAATATGTAACATGGAAAATAAAAATATCTAAAACAACAACATATACTTAAAATTGCTATTTATAGATCAATTTGAATGGCTGTAGTTATATACATATGTATCTATAATTATTAAGTACCGAGATATTCTTCCTTTAATATCGAATGTGTGCGCAAATGAAACGAATACCGAATATGAGAAAAAATATTCACATCTAACCACTCACAAAGAAAATGATTTGGACACATTTATGGTCAGTTGAAAAGGTGGCTGTAGAAAAGACAGCGATCGCACATGGAAGAGTTGATTGGAAAATAAATTATTATTCTTATCATCGTTTGAAATTTCTTTTTTTTCCTAGAATTTCACATCTTTCTGCCACTTGTATACAGAACATGAGTAAAGTCGTAATCGCAATAGCAAAAGTATGCGTTCCGAACGTGTTATAAACCCCGGTTTTAATTACATCAGTCTTACCAAGCCTCAATGCTGGCTCCGAAACAGGAGTAAAAACAGTACATTGGGCTCTCATATGACAGTACTGATTCTAACGTGAGAGCAAAAATGAAACTTTTTAATTAAAATTCCTATCCATTATGGTTAACAAGCATGGGTCATAGTTGTTGATTTCGGTTAGGTTGCGATGGAACTCAGAAACCGTAAGGTGTGCTAACACTCATAAATATGGCATTACAATGACCATATACCTCGTATTAGTACTCGCCCTTTAAAGAATGTTCATTAATCGGTTATGTGTTAAGAAAGGGTTAAAAGCAAAGGCCTTCGGACGTAATATATAAAGAAAAGCGCCATAAACACTGACCAGGTTGCCACAACACTATGGCACAAATAAAACTGACCAGACGAAAAGCAAACTTCACCACTACTGGGTTACAGAGGGTGAGATTAATAGCATTCTCAGTAATCATGTAAACAAAATACACGTATATCCTTCTCTCAAATAAAGACAGATAAGCATGATAGTATAATATCCTCAGTACCTAGTAAACACACCTTCTTCGTACATGGTTTTCATTCACAAAGCAAAACGTGGGTATGTTTGTATGAAAGCAATGAGAATCGGACTTACACTAAAGTATTGTGGAAATACTACAATCGTAAGTTGTAAATGAGCTTAGTTCAACAAGAGATTAGCTGGACAATCGAGACTGTTAAATATTTATACCACAATGAGATGAATTGGCCCAGTTATACTATCGAGACACTTATTTCTCACGATGACTTGATTCTATCTAGGAAGCACTATAAATTGGAAATCGAACTAAAAATAACTCTGTAAGATGAGTGATGTTTTATTTAAGGTGAAGGGTACCGCTGTATCAGTTATAATCGCGAAGGAGAGTTCCAATCAGACTGTTTCGACTTAGAGTATCCTCCCTTCTATGTAGATGATGAAGCAACTAAAAGGAGTAACTTGTTGGCCTTATAGTAACTTCCCCTATTAATTTCTATATGCTTTGTGGTTCATAAACTAGACACTCATTTTTGTGTTTTGCTTGTATTTTTCTTGTTTTGCAGTATTGGTAAAGTGTGGGCTTTGTAATGTTAAATTTCCGAGTTCGCCCCTGCATTTTTTATTTTTTTCAAACATTAAAATTCCGAATGCCTAAAATTCTGTCAATCTGTCAATTGCATGGCAAACGAATTTTAACTATAGGCGAATCAGTTTGTTCATAATAAAGATAAAATGAGAGGCAGTGTTTTACTATCAGTATAGTAGTTGGTATATTGTTGTCTCTTTTAATATCATAAAATGAGTTCAAAACAATCAATGTTAACTTAAATGAATTAAAGAAACAATGCTAATAAAACTGTTTGATATACACTATTTATGTAAAAATGAGGTAAGTCTAAAACAAACTACATTATTTCGTTTTTCTATTAATAATTGACGATATCAATGAACTATTTCCTATTGGTTTTCTACACGCTCCACCCGATAGGTAAATATCACTAGCTGGACTCTCTTTGAGAAGGCAGTAAAAAGGGTAGTGGACAATCAAATACAAGTTCGACCAATCTGTACATTGACAAGTATGTAACGTCAATATACCTTTGTATACAGATTCCATTGTAGGTCACCTATAAAGAACTGACCATTTAACAGGACAATACCTGGGAGTGGATACATGGTTACTTGACCACAACATTGAAACCATTCCTGACCTAAACAAGGACGAACAGCAATTAAAAAATACAATACATTGACACCAAAAAGACGGAAAGTTGTAAAATTAGCACTACATGAAAATATGGCATGTTAAGTACTGTATTAAATGTTGTAGGTAAATGTTTCAGTTAAACATGTTCCCTGACCATGACCTTAACTTTTGTTTAACTTTGAATCAATGGAAGTGTGCTAGACAACGGCTTAGTAACGGGTGACCGTAAAAAATGTTTACTGCGCAAAGTCGATGCGTGTAACGTTCGTTTGGTTTGTAGTCACCATATTTACGGTTTTCCAGAGTGACCGAGTCATATTGTTAGCAGCATTCATTGTATTTTACACCAGTATGTAAATTATCTTTACAATGTCTAATGTTATTTTGTTGAAATTCATGTCAATAAATATTATATATACACATTCCAAACCTTTGTTTATCATAACGTTTGATATGATACAATGATACATTTTATACCCATTACAAGGTGAAAGTACCTAGATTCACCCCTCGGATATCACTTCGAGTGATTGTGAAAAAGTTGGGGAAACTGGGTACTGTCAACCTCCAACTAATGTAATATTTAACTGTATGGCCGTGGCACTCTCAGCTGACCCTAGACACTATTGGCTTCTGATGTATTCCTGTCCTTTGTGACAGCATCATCAATGGGCTGCCCTAGGTGTTTTAACCCTTGAAGAATGTAGCTTTTATTTAATATATAACGAATGTTCTGTGTGACCTCGACCTGCCCGGGTGACCCTTGGTAATATCAACCTCTAATATATCTAGTATTTAAACAATATCTAAATGTATTTCCTTTGTGACAGCAACATCCACGGGGTGACCCAATGCACTGTCCACTTCTAATGAATGTAGTATTTCTATTACATCTTACTTTATGATATGTGTGACAATAATATCGCTGGGGTGACCCTAGGTACTATCACCCTCTAACAAATGTAGTATTTATATTATATCTAACTGTATGTTATGTGCGACAGTAACATCGCCGGGGGGACTCTAGGTACTATCGCCCTCTAACAAATGTAGCATTTATATCATATCTAGCTGCATGTTATGTGCGACAGTAATATCGCCGGGGTGCCCCTAGGTACTATCACCCTCTAACAAAGTTATGTGAAATATCATATCTAACTGTATGTTATGTGCGACAGTAACATCGCCGGGGTGACTCTAGTTACTATCGCCCTCTAACAAATGTAGTATTTATATCATATCTAACAGTATGTTAGCATCCCCGGGATGACCTTAGGTACTATCACCCTCTAACAATTGTAGTATTTATATTATATCTAACTGTATGTTATGTGCGACAGTAACATCGCCGGGGTGACTCTAGTTACTATCACCCTCTAACAATTGTAGTATTTATATTATATTTAACTGTATGTTATGTGCGACAGTAACATCGCCGGGTTGACTCTAGGTACTATCACTCTCTAACACATATAATGTTTTGAATATAGAATCTAATTCATGTCGTGAGCGACAGTAGCACGGTAAGGGTGACTCTTGGTGCTGTTACCCTCCAATAATACAGTATGTATACAATATCCACCTGTATGTCGTGTGTGGTATTGACATCCAAGGTAACGCTGGTACTGCCATCTTTTAACATATTAATACACTGTATATCTTGTTTGACTTATACGAGCGTCATAATGACTCATTGACTATGTTTGTAATTTTGTTTGTAAAATTGAATGTTAGATAAATAATGTCTACCAAGTATATAATTATATCGAGTGTATTGAATTTTTACAGAAAAAAATCTTTCTCCGTTTTGTACTCAATATCAGACGCCGGTAAAACTGTAGTTAGCTTAAGTCCTTATTTCTGTTAATTAATCCTCGTCCGCAGAATTCGGTACTCGTAAGCTCCTTATGTCGGTGACAAGAGAGGACCCGTACCGGCTTGATTTCTGACAGTGTGGCCCTGACAATATTAGGTGGACAGGACAATACATATTACCTCTACTACAACAAACAATAACACAATCAAGCACCTAAACTAGTATAGTATTAAAGCGGCGTGGCTTACGCTCTAATGCTACTATGACGTGATAATTACTCACAATGAAAAGTGAAAAACATAAAGAATGGTAAATACGTTTCTACTTGATACAGACATCAACAAATGAGTAATTACATGTTCGAATACTTTGATGTTTAAATAATATTACAATTTGTATAAATCACGGTTAAGACACATGAAGACAGACGCTTTTTCTCCCAATCATTTTATGGTAATTTTTATGATAATGATGATAGTATAATATTTTCCTTTTTCTCTTCCGCGCCCCTTCTAATCAGTAACCACAAGATAATTATTCTAACTTGGGAAGTGCAATTTAAAAATCATAACGTTTTCTTTGTATGCAATATCAAAATCCGTTCATAGCATTGCCATGGAAGCTGAAGATTAATTATTAATGAAGACGATCGGAAATTGTCCCGATTATAACGTCAATAGCGATTGTACAGCTCAAAACATCCAGCTATAGAGTTTCTTAAATTTCTGTGGTTGGAGTTTAAACGATCAGATTCTTGACCAGCCATTGCGCTTCTCAACATATAATGAATTATTATTTCCTTTTCAACACATATGTCTTCTTTAGTTTGATGACGTAAGACGGGTGATACCTGAATAAATTATCGATTATGTTACGAGGAATATCTATATCTGACCATTGTAAGGAGAAACGGTCAAGTTTGGTACATATCCTACACAAACATTCTCCGGAATAATTTGACGGGTTCCTGTATGTTAATTCGGAGGCTGTACAAATAGATACATCATTGAATTACATATATATATAATTACTGTAGAAATTAAGGGATTATATAATGATACTGGTATATTCATCGGAGAACATTTTAAGACTGGCGTAATAATACGACATGATTTTCCCAGCGAACATCTTTATGATATGACAGTACCTATGAAATATATGATATCTGTAAGAATTACTTATTATAACTATTTCGAATGTGTTTTGCGTTCTTGTACCGGTATATACAATTTAACGACATGTTAAAACAAATGCTTCGTGAAGTTGACGGTTTAGAAACCATCGTGGACAAAGTTTGACCGAGATAAAATGTGACCGACATAAGTTGCCAGTTTATTAAAACTTTCCGTGGCTGAGAGTGTCAAAGTGGGGTGTTTATGCCAAGATATCAGTCGGAGACGTGCAGCATATACCTGGTAGATACAAGACGGAGGGGTTAAAATTCGAGAGAGGGGGAGGGAGGGGTACAAGGGCTTTAAGTTAAAGGCAGAAGACAAAAAAAGAAAACCGTATTTTCCCTAAAACAATGTTTCAGTCATAACAAGACTATTTTCGTAAAAAAATAAACCAGTACTAAATAAGTCTACAAAGATACAGATGTATGCCAAATCACTTAACACACAATATCATACAAACAGTGTTTAACTTGAGAATGGAAGACCGTTATATTTAGCCCCCGTTTCCAAACAACACTACACAACAGTGTGGTTTGTTTAATCTAGTCCTTAGACAAGCAATGCAGTGGTCAATATCATACATTGACCATGTCCTTCAAATGTTCAGCCCTAAAGCAATGTAAATTGATTTAAATGTTGACCCTTTTGTTTATGCTATACCAATGTTCCACTACGGCAACTAAGTGGTCAGTCCAAATTTGATTGATCTAAATTGTCTCGCGCTTGTTCCTACGCAACCAGAAGACACTAGGTATTAAAACTGACCCTGGCCACTGTGGATCAGTCCGATTTACGAGCTCATCCATTACAGACGTTACTATAGACGCCATCTAACACCATGTCTGACGACCAAGTTGATTTAGTTGCTAGGGATCCCAATAGCCTTAACAGCCATTTAGGGGTAAGTAATCAATTTGATTTTTAATTTAATGGAAATATATATTTTAAAATAGAACTTTTTACAGAAAATGTTGTTTGTGTGTGCGTGTCAGATTATTACTTTAGAAACTGATTTCGTCGATTCGCTAAAACATCCGATTTTCTTAATGCTTCTAAAAGCGTTCTGTACATGTCAAATTTTAAATTCATGTGTATGATCAGAGATTTAATCCGATTTATTAATGCGATTTATTAATGCGATTTAACCCCTTACTACAGAGACATACAACAGTTGGCGATATCACACTTCCGATAGTTTTGTCAATTAAATATTTTTTAGTTTTGTTCTTGTGAGAAAAAAAAAAAAAAAAAGTTATGTGAAGTTTTAATTAATTGGCGGACAAACACTGTGAACTCTTCAGCAGCGGGATGTGGACATAGACTATTTGTAACTTTGTTTAACTCACATCTCAGTGTTCATTATTTAATTATATTTTTGTCAATTATTTTTTTCGTGGGGGGGGGGGGGGGGGGGGGGGGGGGGACGACGGAAGTTTTCCACAATCATCCTCCGCTCCTCCCCACACCTCCCCTAGACAAGTCTGGATTCGCCTCAGTGTTTGATACTGTTGCTAGGTTACCAGACAGTCAATATTCTAAGTCTTTCAAGAAAGTCCATTCGTAATATTTTGTTTTAAATACGCAGCCTTATATGACCCCGATTTAAACAAATGTGTTCCCTCTTCCCTTTTAGACTTTGCTGTTTAACGATGTCCTGGGTGAGCCCGATGGTACCCACAGTATCGACTGCGTCTGGAAGCTGTCCTACACCTGTTTCGAATTGTGGAAGGGACTCTGCTACAAGATCCTCACCCTCTTCTGTGGTATCTGTATTGCAGCGGAATGGGGCTGTGAGTTCGCCTACATTGCTTTCTACCATATCTGGTTCATCACCCCATGCATGAAGGTCTTCGAGATCAACTGTGGACTCTGCCAGAAGATCTACAGCCTCATCATCAACTGTTGCATACAACCATGTACGGAGGCATGTGGCGGATGCTTTATACATTTCAAGAAATGAGCAGGAAGAGGATGGTAGGTGTAATGTAACAGTTCACCTGACATTAAACATCAGATCAGAACTTGACATGCGGTCTATACCTCACTCTAACACAGCAAGAATCATAACGAAAAACTGGAATACCTCCATGTGCGTAAACATTGTTTATCTGTGATATTATTTATTCTCCGCAACAGAGGCGCATAATAATGATGGTTTTTCGAACAGACATTTCCACAACTTTACATATGGATAGAACTCATTTGTTTACACGTATCCATGGTGATAGTGTTTATTTTGTATCTATGGCGTTTGTAAACACAGTTTTGACCTCATCAAAGGAAATAAATTTGTATATATTTAAATATAACGGTTGCTTTTGTCATGATTTAAAACTAATATCAATGTATATATTTTGGGTTCATTTTGGAATAACAAGACATTAATATTCAGACATGACTTTGAACCTTGCGTGACATTTAGGCAACAGGCTTTCTGAACGGAAGTACCCAACTTCTGACGAAAAAGGGCTCAATTTCGATAAAATTTCAGAGTGACGTCATTTAAAAAAGGAGTAGCGATTCACACTCTGGGTTACGACCTCTAAAACAATAGAAACAAATACGCTGAGTTATAAATAGTATAGTCAGATTTGAGGGAGATTGGTGTGTATTTCAAATCAATAAGATTTGTCTGTGGTCTTTGAGGAAGATTGATTGTTGTTTCGAATCAATAATGTTTTGCGGTAAGATTTGAGGGAGATTGTTTATTATATAGCATATATCATATAGCATATATCATATATTATATAGCATATATAGCATGTATTTGTCTTTAAGTAATAACTTGGTTCGATAAATAAACAGTCTCACGGGTCTCTACCCTTCACCCAATAGTAGCAGATCGTTGACAAAATCGCAGAAAAACGTGTCCATACCTGTATGCACACGACTTTTAATTTGTGGAATGGTCAGTCCCGGGTGTCCGAGCTGTTGAATAAACAGATGCGTGGGACTCCCCCCTAATGATCAGACATTCACATGCTAATTGATTCCTGGCCAACACTAAGGACACCTTACTGGTCGGTCAACAAGGCCACCGGCTCGTGTGTATAGTTACGCTAATTTGGATCATGGCCGACACTTAGCAACACGGCAAGTCACCAACAACATTCCGACATTGTTTATAGTTACCAGCGGACACAATGACCATTCACAACTTTAACAATGCCGTATTTTCACAATCACATTGGCATTTTCTATTCAACTTGAAAGTTTAGTTCATAATTACCACACATAGCTGGGAAACAAACCGCCCCAGTAAAGGATAAACACCAACAAAAAACTATTGTCTCAATTTAAACTAAGTTGAAGTTCTGTATTGTCCCGAGTCTTTTGACTTATCGGTTTTAAATGTGAAATGTACTCAGCGCAACACTTACCACATAAAAAGGATAAAATATACACACCATAATACAATATGGTGTGCAACAAATTAAGTTATTCTTCTTTCATTATCTGCGTTTAGCCAAATTAACTCTAGATTTATTTTCGTAATATTCCTTAAATAATTTAATTCATTTTAAAAATTCTTGCCTTTTAACACAGTAGTTCTTTCCTTTTTTAAATGAAAAACGTAAATCAGATAAATGACAGCCTGCAATTTCAGAATAAAATGGAATTCATTTTTTTAAAATACATACACAACACACTCTATGATTTCATTGGATTTTTTGGTAAAAATTAATATTTCAGCATATTATTTTGGAAAAAGATCCGGTCAAACAATTTGTGAAAGAGTGCTAAAGGATACCAAGACATGTAGTCCAGATATCACTTATTTATGTATGAACTAGAAAAGACACGCTGTATGTATGAAAACAAGGAATTTTCCCGACTTTTAAAAATATGCTCATATTTTCTCCATCTCGAGGACCAAAATATTCTTTTTCCTTTAATACAAAAAATTGAAAAGGTTTTTTTTCTTCAGAAAGTGATTATCAGTCTTAAAAATTCTAAAGATAAAGGAACCCGAGTTATCAACATTTTATAAGCATTATTTATGTTACTTCCGGTCTAATTGATATCGCTGTTCTTGTCCTAACATTATATACAGTCACATACCAGACACGAAATATTGGCTAAATGATGCTATCGATATCATAGCTTTATTGAGTATGTGATCAGAGACGTGTATGGCTGTATACGTTGTTGATTGAATTAAAACAATGATAGCGTAAACAGCGTTGAACCACAGACTAAGATAATCTAATTCCGGGGTTGAACATAGATGATCTCAGTTGCAACACCCAACTCAAGGGTGGCCTCGCCAGACCGTTAACCACACACGCATCTCGCTTATCAGAGTTGTCTCCCTCTTTACCATGGGAAACAGGGGCTGGGTGAGTGACAGCGGGCAAGGTTGCGGACTGCTGACGGATGGATGAATTCATGGCTTTTCGCTAACATAGAAACGACAACTTCAACTTCAACTCGAACTTTGAACTTTTTACTACACGTTCATCAATTTTAATTCGTTTCCTTACATTCGATCCTGATGTTTAGATTAAACACACCCAATAAGAGTTCTATTTAGTTGTTAATGGCAGCAAAGGAACACATATTGTTATACACTGTTCATGGATATAGCCTTACTCCTTCATAACAGTAAGCACACGCTATTTGATCAGGTAGTTTTACTGACAAGGTAAACAACCTATAGAAGTAAAGTTTACACGAACTGTCAATGACAGCACTCAGAATAACCCTAACCGTTTATACGGCTAATTATCAACAGGTACGAACTGGACAGTGGCCAAACAGATCACGCCTGACCAGACAGGTGTCCGTAACAACGATAAACAATCGGACACGGTGACGTACTCGCGCCAGTGAGAACACATACCTGGTTACTGACGGATAAGGGGAGGGGAAGCAACTTTTGTATAGTTTTAATCGGACTCTCGCTATGGGAAAAGGGAGGTAACTCGTATACATTCTAATCGACTTCGTTTTCACAGGTTTTACTAGCTCAATATTGCAATTTTTGTACAATTGAAATATTGATATACAACATTTTCAATTAATATCATCAAAACCAGTCTTATAAAGAGTGAAAATGGTAACAATTGAAATATTTTTCACAATTGTTTTTTTCATAAATTCATGTAGACTCAATGTTACTCAGTATTAACACGGAATTAGATTATCTAAGTCCGTGGTATTAATTTACACTCGGTATCACACATTTAATACGTTATAACATATAAAAGGACGTTAACTGTTTGTCATGAAGCTACCGAGTTCAAATGATCTGCCAACAAATCCATATATGACTTTTTAACCAAAATACACGCGGTATCTTTGTATTTATTTTCAGTTGGCATAAGTAATTCATTTTCTGATTACTATACTAAAACAGTTTGTATTTTTACAGACGAATTACAGACTGTAAACTTCTTAACCCCTCCGAAAGACTCCTAGGTGCACTATTGTCAAAGAGAGACAGATAGGTCCGTACTGTTTAGATATCCTGTATATACATAACAAACATTTACAGCGTTTCGCAATATATGGTCTCTATCACCAATGGCGCCATTTTATTGTTAATTATAACAACTCGCACACTTAATGATGATAAATCCCAAAGGTCAGTAACTGCAACTGCAGGTCGAGAATTGAGAAAAGAATAAAGCTGCTTTTACTCACTGCAAGTTGAAGGAGGTACCGCACATGGGACACCCTCTGCACAAATGGGGATTTCGTCTTTTGTGTTGGCGACATGAAAGTAACCAACATGAATCTGCTGCACCCATTGCAACTTTAAATACACTTGTATTTTCTCTCTTCTTTCTTATAATATTTGTTTTCCTAGCGCTTTTCTTGGCAATACATGTACCTCATTTTTGTCCCGAGTGTTTAGCGTTCGCCCGAGTGGGGAATGCAAAGGGTTCTGTCCCAGGTCAGGATACTATCGGCATTTATGGCAAACGCAACAACTGGTTAACCGTTGTCAGTATAATATTATCCAATACTTCATAATAACATTTATTAAGAATGATTTATTATTGTTGCCCTTTTAAAAATGTCATTACGTTATTTAATCAGTCCAAAAGTTATCTATCAATATCCATGTCAACGCATGCTTAATTTATCAACACCATGAGATTATGTCTATAGATTAAATATGTTAAATAGTTATATTTATCGCACATCGAAGCTCACAAACACCGTGACTCATAATTAGCTTAGTTTGATGTTATGCAAGTTTATCAGAAATAAATGTGAGTAATTATGTATGGAAAATGTCTGGGTGAATGTAGAGTAAACTAATTAGTCAACGAATTAAAGAATGAACCATTGATGGAAAGCCAAATTACTGTGTATAGAATTGAAAGAACTCCCTACCTCCCAAATACTATATCAAGGGACCATTACAATGACAACACCTTATTTTATTACTGGGGATTAAACTCACTGTAAACAATTTATGACCTACATATGGTTCAAGGACAATAGACATCACACAGTATAAATAGATATACACAGGTTACCAGAACTAACCAAATGTAGAGGAACTGGACCGGGTTGTTCGCCGGCGACCAGGTAGTTTCATTGGCAGAGTGTCCGTATAGAGTTTAGAGGGTTCCGGGTTCGAACCCCGGTCTGGTCCTGTATTTCTCGCTCCTGTTACAGTGGTGCCTGTGACTGGAATGGTTCGCTCGCCGGCGACCTGGTAACTCAATTGGTAGAGAGACTGTCAATAGTTTGGAGGGTCCTGGGTTCGAATCCCTGTCTGGCCGTGCATTTTTCCTGTTACACAGTTAAACAGTGTCATTGCATTAAACACTGTACGAACTCGGACACCAAGTATGTTATAAAATATACACCGAATTCATAAATGAAAACCGTTTTATTAATCAAAAACATAAGAAAATGTTACATATATTTGACATCTTTGTTTGTGTCGATCACTTTCAATGTTGTCACCGACTGGCCAAACATGTACTTCTTAAGTGTAAACAAGCGCAGTAACACAACCGGTTCACTCCTTTTTCATTGTGATTGTTATTCCACTGAATATCCTTCCACAGGCTTCAAACACAGGACTAACGATGGCCTCTAGGAATATTCTCCATATCTTAGCATAGGGAATAATTTCTATAGCGTAGCGCCTGATCAATGGTCGCACATTCCATACGGTGCCGCACGTGAGGCACGCGAAACTTATACCCCAACAAAAGGCACACGGGATTGCAAAAATGGCGGTGAGAATTCTGTAGCACCAGAATTTAGTTTTTGTGAAAACAATTGCGCTATTCACCCACACACAATCGATACTGTGGGAGCCATCTGGTTCGGCGAACAAGTCATCAAACTCCACCTGCAGAAGAAGATAGATTTGAATATAATCGCATTGCAATAATTTCAATGTCTTTGTACCAAATATTACAAATATAATGTACTCTTGTATTTCATTGAATAGGGAATGCCATACATTTGTATTTCTAGAAGGAGGTAGGGAGAGTGGGGCGCAATTGCATTACGATTTAACTTCCATTTCCTGTGAAAGGGTAAATACGAGTCAGTTTATGTTAGGAATAATTAAGTGTTGTCATGGAATTTGTCCTTTAATGAAAATTGAGGTAAGCAATGTCGTGCTACGGCCGTAACGTGGGGGTGGTGGTTGTGTTGGTGGTTGTATAATGTGGTGTGGCGATGTTGATTGGTGCATGGTATAGGAGATGTTTTAGTGGTGGCTGTTTCAGGAGTAATGGTTACACGGACAGTTTCAGTGGTGGTATTAGAGGATTTAGTGGTGGCTGTTTCAGGGGAAGTGGTTAAACGGACAGTTTCAGTGGTTGTATTAAAGGTTTAAGTGGTTGCTGTTTCCGGATTAGTGGTTACACGGACAGTTTAAGTGGTGGTATTAGATGTTTAAGTGGTGGCTGTTTCAGGTTTAGTGGTTGCACGGACAGTTTCAGTGGTGGTATTAGATGTTTTAGTGGTGGCTGTTTCAGGTTTAGTGGTTACACGGACAGTTTCAGTGGTGGTATTAGATGTTTTAGTGGTGGCTGTTTCAGGTTTAGTGGTAACACGGACAGTTTCAGTGGTGGTATTAGAGGTTTTAGTGGTGGCTGTTTCAGGGGTAGTGGTTACACGGACAGTTTCAGTGGTGGTATTAGATGTTTTAGTGGTGGCTGTTTCAGGTTTAGTGGTTACACGGACAGTTTCAGTGGTGGTATTAGAGGTTTTAGTGGTGGCTGTTTCAGGGGTAGTGGTTACACGGACAGTTTCAGTGGTGGTATTAGATGTTTTAGTGGTGGCTGTTTCAGGTTTAGTGGTTACACGGACAGTTTCAGTGGTGGTATTAGAGGTTTTAGTGGTGGCTGTTTCAGGGGTAGTGGTTACACGGACAGTTTCAGTGGTGGTATTAGATGTTTTAGTGGTGGCTGTTTCAGGTTTAGTGGTTACACGGACAGTTTCAGTGGTGGTATTAGAGGTTTTAGTGGTGGCTGTTTCAGGGGTAGTGGTTACACGGACAGTTTCAGTGGTGGTATTAGATGTTTTAGTGGTGGCTGTTTCAGGTTTAGTGGTTACACGGACAGTTTCAGTGGTGGTATTAGAGGTTTTAGTGGTGGCTGTTTCAGGGGTAGTGGTTACACGGACAGTTTCAGTGGTGGTATTAGATGTTTTAGTGGTGGCTGTTTCAGGTTTAGTGGTTACACGGACAGTTTCAGTGGTGGTATTAGAGGTTTTAGTGGTGGCTGTTTCAGGGGTAGTGGTTACACGGACAGTTTCAGTGGTGGTATTAGATGTTTTAGTGGTGGCTGTTTCAGGTTTAGTGGTTACACGGACAGTTTCAGTGGTGGTATTAGAGGTTTTAGTGGTGGCTGTTTCAGGGGTAGTGGTTACACGGACAGTTTCAGTGGTGGTATTAGATGTTTTAGTGGTGGCTGTTTCAGGTTTAGTGGTTACACGGACAGTTTCAGTGGTGGTATTAGAGGTTTTAGTGGTGGCTGTTTCAGGGGTAGTGGTTACACGGACAGTTTCAGTGGTGGTATTAGATGTTTTAGTGGTGGCTGTTTCAGGTTTAGTGGTTACACGGACAGTTTCAGTGGTGGTATTAGAGGTTTTAGTGGTGGCTGTTTCAGGGGTAGTGGTTACACGGACAGTTTCAGTGGTGGTATTAGATGTTTTAGTGGTGGCTGTTTCAGGTTTAGTGGTTACACGGACAGTTTCAGTGGTGGTATTAGAGGTTTTAGTGGTGGCTGTTTCAGGTGTAGTGGTTACACGGACAGTTTCAGTGGTGGTATTAGATGTTTTAGTGGTGGCTGTTTCAGGTTTAGTGGTTACACGGACAGTTTCAGTGGTGGTATTAGAGGTTTTAGTGGTGGCTGTTTCAGGTGTAGTGGTTACACGGACAGTTTCAGTGGTGGTATTAGATGTTTTAGTGGTGGCTGTTTCAGGTTTAGTGGTTACACGGACAGTTTCAGTGGTGGTATTAGAGGTTTTAGTGGTGGCTGTTTCAGGTGTAGTGGTTACACGGACAGTTTCAGTGGTGGTATTAGATGTTTTAGTGGTGGCTGTTTCAGGTTTAGTGGTTACACGGACAGTTTCAGTGGTGGTAGTTGAGGTTTTAGTGGTGGCTGTTTCAGGTTTAGTGGTTATACGGACAGTTTCAGTGGTGGTATTAGAGGTTTTAGTGGTGGCTGTTTCAGGAGTAATGGTTACACGGACAGTTTCAGTGGTGGTAATAGAGGTTTTAGTGGTGGCTGTTTCAGGAGTAGTGGTTACACGGACAGTTTCAGTGGTGGTATTAGATGTTTTAGTGGTGGCTGTTTCAGGTTTAGTGGTTACACGGACAGTTTCAGTGGTGGTATTAGAGGTTTTAGTGGTGGCTGTTTCAGGGGTAGTGGTTACACGGACAGTTTCAGTGGTGGTATTAGATGTTTTAGTGGTGGCTGTTTCAGGTTTAGTGGTTACACGGACAGTTTCAGTGGTGGTATTAGAGGTTTTAGTGGTGGCTGTTTCAGGGGTAGTGGTTACACGGACAGTTTCAGTGGTGGTATTAGATGTTTTAGTGGTGGCTGTTTCAGGTTTAGTGGTTACACGGACAGTTTCAGTGGTGGTATTAGAGGTTTTAGTGGTGGCTGTTTCAGGGGTAGTGGTTACACGGACAGTTTCAGTGGTGGTATTAGATGTTTTAGTGGTGGCTGTTTCAGGTTTAGTGGTTACACGGACAGTTTCAGTGGTGGTATTAGAGGTTTTAGTGGTGGCTGTTTCAGGGGTAGTGGTTACACGGACAGTTTCAGTGGTGGTATTAGATGTTTTAGTGGTGGCTGTTTCAGGTTTAGTGGTTACACGGACAGTTTCAGTGGTGGTATTAGAGGTTTTAGTGGTGGCTGTTTCAGGGGTAGTGGTTACACGGACAGTTTCAGTGGTGGTATTAGATGTTTTAGTGGTGGCTGTTTCAGGTTTAGTGGTTACACGGACAGTTTCAGTGGTGGTATTAGAGGTTTTAGTGGTGGCTGTTTCAGGGGTAGTGGTTACACGGACAGTTTCAGTGGTGGTATTAGATGTTTTAGTGGTGGCTGTTTCAGGTTTAGTGGTTACACGGACAGTTTCAGTGGTGGTATTAGAGGTTTTAGTGGTGGCTGTTTCAGGGGTAGTGGTTACACGGACAGTTTCAGTGGTGGTATTAGATGTTTTAGTGGTGGCTGTTTCAGGTTTAGTGGTTACACGGACAGTTTCAGTGGTGGTATTAGAGGTTTTAGTGGTGGCTGTTTCAGGGGTAGTGGTTACACGGACAGTTTCAGTGGTGGTATTAGATGTTTTAGTGGTGGCTGTTTCAGGTTTAGTGGTTACACGGACAGTTTCAGTGGTGGTATTAGAGGTTTTAGTGGTGGCTGTTTCAGGGGTAGTGGTTACACGGACAGTTTCAGTGGTGGTATTAGATGTTTTAGTGGTGGCTGTTTCAGGTTTAGTGGTTACACGGACAGTTTCAGTGGTGGTATTAGAGGTTTTAGTGGTGGCTGTTTCAGGGGTAGTGGTTACACGGACAGTTTCAGTGGTGGTATTAGATGTTTTAGTGGTGGCTGTTTCAGGTTTAGTGGTTACACGGACAGTTTCAGTGGTGGTATTAGAGGTTTTAGTGGTGGCTGTTTCAGGGGTAGTGGTTACACGGACAGTTTCAGTGGTGGTATTAGATGTTTTAGTGGTGGCTGTTTCAGGTTTAGTGGTTACACGGACAGTTTCAGTGGTGGTATTAGAGGTTTTAGTGGTGGCTGTTTCAGGGGTAGTGGTTACACGGACAGTTTCAGTGGTGGTATTAGATGTTTTAGTGGTGGCTGTTTCAGGTTTAGTGGTTACACGGACAGTTTCAGTGGTGGTATTAGAGGTTTTAGTGGTGGCTGTTTCAGGGGTAGTGGTTACACGGACAGTTTCAGTGGTGGTATTAGATGTTTTAGTGGTGGCTGTTTCAGGTTTAGTGGTTACACGGACAGTTTCAGTGGTGGTATTAGAGGTTTTAGTGGTGGCTGTTTCAGGGGTAGTGGTTACACGGACAGTTTCAGTGGTGGTATTAGATGTTTTAGTGGTGGCTGTTTCAGGTTTAGTGGTTACACGGACAGTTTCAGTGGTGGTATTAGAGGTTTTAGTGGTGGCTGTTTCAGGGGTAGTGGTTACACGGACAGTTTCAGTGGTGGTATTAGATGTTTTAGTGGTGGCTGTTTCAGGTTTAGTGGTTACACGGACAGTTTCAGTGGTGGTATTAGAGGTTTTAGTGGTGGCTGTTTCAGGGGTAGTGGTTACACGGACAGTTTCAGTGGTGGTATTAGATGTTTTAGTGGTGGCTGTTTCAGGTTTAGTGGTTACACGGACAGTTTCAGTGGTGGTATTAGAGGTTTTAGTGGTGGCTGTTTCAGGGGTAGTGGTTACACGGACAGTTTCAGTGGTGGTATTAGATGTTTTAGTGGTGGCTGTTTCAGGTTTAGTGGTTACACGGACAGTTTCAGTGGTGGTATTAGAGGTTTTAGTGGTGGCTGTTTCAGGGGTAGTGGTTACACGGACAGTTTCAGTGGTGGTATTAGATGTTTTAGTGGTGGCTGTTTCAGGTTTAGTGGTTACACGGACAGTTTCAGTGGTGGTATTAGAGGTTTTAGTGGTGGCTGTTTCAGGGGTAGTGGTTACACGGACAGTTTCAGTGGTGGTATTAGATGTTTTAGTGGTGGCTGTTTCAGGTTTAGTGGTTACACGGACAGTTTCAGTGGTGGTATTAGAGGTTTTAGTGGTGGCTGTTTCAGGGGTAGTGGTTACACGGACAGTTTCAGTGGTGGTATTAGATGTTTTAGTGGTGGCTGTTTCAGGTTTAGTGGTTACACGGACAGTTTCAGTGGTGGTATTAGAGGTTTTAGTGGTGGCTGTTTCAGGGGTAGTGGTTACACGGACAGTTTCAGTGGTGGTATTAGATGTTTTAGTGGTGGCTGTTTCAGGTTTAGTGGTTACACGGACAGTTTCAGTGGTGGTATTAGAGGTTTTAGTGGTGGCTGTTTCAGGGGTAGTGGTTACACGGACAGTTTCAGTGGTGGTATTAGATGTTTTAGTGGTGGCTGTTTCAGGTTTAGTGGTTACACGGACAGTTTCAGTGGTGGTATTAGAGGTTTTAGTGGTGGCTGTTTCAGGGGTAGTGGTTACACGGACAGTTTCAGTGGTGGTATTAGATGTTTTAGTGGTGGCTGCTTCAGGGGTAGTGGTTACACGGACAGTTTCAGTGGTGGTATTAGATGTTTTAGTGGTGGCTGTTTCAGGTTTAGTGGTTACACGGACTGTTTCAGTGGTGGTATTAGAGGTTTTAGTGTTTGCTGTTTCAGGTTTAGTGGTTGTAGGGACAGTTTCAGTGGTGGTAATAGAGGTTTTAGTGGTGGCTGTTTCAGGGGTAGTGGTTACACGGACAGTTTCAGTGGTGGTATTAGATGTTTTAGTGGTGGCTGTTTCAGGTTTAGTGGTTACACGGACAGTTCCAGTGGTGGTATTAGATGTTTTAAAGGTGGCTGTTTCCGGATTAGTGGTTACACGGACAGTTTCAGTGGTGGTATTATAGGTTTTAGTGGTGGCTGTTTCAGGGGTAGTGGTTACACGGACAGTTTCAGTGGTAGTATTAGATGTTTTAGTGTAGGCTGTTTCAGGTTTAGTGGTTACACGGACAGTTCCAGTGGTGGTATTAGATGTTTTAGTGGTGGCTGTTTCAGGAGTAGTGGTTACACGGACAGTTTCAGGGGTGGTATTAGAGGTTTTAGTGCTGCCTGTTTCAGGGGTAGTGGTAACACGGACAGTTTCAGTGGTGGGATTAGAGGTTTTAGTGGTGGCTGTTTCAGGGGTAGTGGTAACACGGACAGTTTAGTGGTGGTATTAGATGTTTTAAAGGTGGCTGTTTCGGATTAGTGGTTACACGGACAGTTTCAGTGGTGGTATTAGAGGTTTTAGTGGACGGTGTTTCAGGGGTAGTGGTTACACGGACAGTTTCTGTGGTGGTATTAGAGGATTTAGTGGTGGCTGTTTCAGGAGTAGTGGTTACACGGACAGTTTCTGTGGCGGTGTTAGAGGTTTTAGTGGTGGCTGTTTCAGGTTTAATGGTTTCACGGACAGTTTCAGTGGTGGTATTAGAGGATTTAGTGGTGGCTGTTTCAGGAGAAGTGGTAACACGGACAGTTTCAGTGGTGGTATTAGATGTTTTAGTGGGGGCTGTTTCAGGAGAAGTGCTAACACGGACAGTTTCAGTGATGGTATTAGAGGTTTTAGTGCTGGCTGTTTCAGGGGTAGTCGTTACACGGACAGTTTCAGTGGTTGTATTAGATGTTTTAGTGGGGGCTGTTTCAGGGGGAGTGGTTAAACGGACAGTTTCAGTGGATGTATTAAAGGTTTAAGTGGTTGCTGTTTCAGGGGTAGTGGTTACACGGGCAGGTTCAGTGGTGGTATTAGAGGATTTAGTGGGGGCTGTTTCAGGGTTAGTGGTTACACTGGCAGTTTCAGTGGCGGTATTAGAGGTTTTAGTGCTGCCTGTTTCAGGGGTAGTGGTTACACGGACGGGTAGTGGTAACACGGACAGTTGCAGTGGTGGTATTAGATGTGTTAGTGGTGGCTGTTTCAGTAGTAGTGTTTACACGGACAGTTTTAGTGGTGGTATTAGATGTTTTAAAGGTGGCTGTTTCCGGATTAGTGGTTACACGGACAGTTCCTGTGGTGGTATTAGAGGATTTAGTGGTGGCTGTTTTAGGGGTAGTGGTTACACGGGCAGGTTCAGTGGTGGTATTAGAGGGTTTAGTGGTGGCTGGTTCAGGATTAGTGGCTACACGGACAGGTTCAGTGGGGGTATTAGAGGATTTAGTGGTGGCTGTTTTAGGGGTAGTGGTTACACGGACGGGTAGTGGTAACACGGACAGTTGCAGTGGTGGTATTAGATGTGTTAGTGGTGGCTGTTTCAGTAGTAGTGTTTACACGGACAGTTTTAGTGGTGGTATTGGATGTTTAAGTGGTGGCAGTTTCAGGGTTAGTGGTTACACGGACAGTTCCTGTGGTGGTATTAGAGGATTTAGGGGTGGCTGGTTCAGGAGAAGTGGGAACACGGACAGTTTCAGTGGGGATATTAGAGGTTTTAGTGGTGGGAGTTTCAGGTTTAGTGGTTACACGGACAGATTCTGTGGTGGTTTTAGAGGATTTAGTGGTGGCTGTTTTAGGGGTAGTGGTTACACGGACGGGTAGTGGTAACACGGACAGTTGCAGTGGTGGTATTAGATGTTTTAGCCCCCGCTGTTTCAGGAGTAGTGTTTACACTGACAGTTTCAGTGGTGGTATGAGAGGTTTTAGTGGGAGCTGTTTAAGGTGAAGTGGTTACACGGACAGTTTCTGTGGCGGTGTTAGAGGTTTTAGTGGTGGCTGCTTCAGGGGTAGTGGTTACACGGACAGTTTCAGTGGTGATATTAGAGGTTTAAGTGGTGGCTGTTTCAGGTTTAATGGTTACACGGACAGTTTCTGTGGTGGTTTTAGAGGATTTAGTGGTGGCTGTTTCAGGGGAAGTGGTTAAACGGACAGTTTCAGTGGTTGTATTAAAGGTTTAAGTGGTTGCTGTTTCAGGGATAGTGGTTACACGGACAGTTTCAGTGGTGGTATGAGAGGTTTTAGTGGGAGCTGTTTAAGGTGAAGTGGTTACACGGACAGTTTCAGTGGTGATATGAGGGGTTTTAGTGGTGGCTGTTTCAGGGTTAGTGGTTACACGGACAGTTTCAGTGGTGGTAGTTGAGGTTTTCGTGGACGCTATTTCATGGGTAGTGGTTACACGGACAGTTTCAGTGGTGGTATTAGAGGTTTTAGTGGACGGTGTTTCAGGGGTAGTGGTTACACGGACAGTTTCAGTGGTGGTATGAGAGATTTAATTTCCTTAATTTCCCGTTCAAACAAAAAGTGAAACAATTCAGGTTTCTCCCCAGGCCATTTAGCTGATACGACTCCGTATCAGCTTCAGTTTGAAATCCTCCCTGCCGAATCAGCTTAATTGACCCGTATCACCTTAGACTATGAACCGTATCACCTTGTTATTTGCACTGAAAGTGGTCTTTTTACACAAGAAATTGACACTGATTAAATCACCAGGCTGACCAAAACAATCTGGGGAGAACCCTGAACATATGTAGGATATACGAACAAAGTGTATACCTAAGGGAACCTCATACGAGCACAACGTTTCAAATTTCGCATCAGCTAGATATTGCTCTGAATTTTCATCCATCAATTTAAAGCGACGGTCCGCCGACCACACATTTTATGCGATAACTTTTACGTCGTTTCTGAAAACGCATGCGCATAACACACCATTTCATTGTCACAGACCAGATAACTTCAACTTTATTACTTACCTTCACATCGTCATTGATGTGTGTCGGGTCCCTGTCAATCAGGTCAATATGTGGGACGGATGGTTCGTTGTTATATTGGGAAGCACTGCCCCGGAGTGTGTGAGCTTGAGTCGGAGTCCCTGTGTACGGGGATGCGTGCCCCGGCGGGGTCGGTTGTTGCTGTACTTGGGGAGGGTTTCCCTGGCTCAGCGGGATGTCGTCATACGTGACGTCGTACGTGTTTTCATACTGTCAACAGACGTAATCATACGTTATTTATCACACACGACCACCTGTTGCAGGTGATATAGGTTTCCTGAGTTGAGGTACAACGGGCTTATATTACCTGTGTATGTTCATATTTCCCTAGCCAAGGATGAGGGAAATGTGAAACCCCGGGAGATAATCCAACCATTGTTTCTTGCATAAATCATAGTTAACGAATTTGTCATGCTGCAAAAAACTGATGTAATCAAACAGAAGTAAAGTCTCCGATATCGAATCGAAAGGTCGAGAAGCCATCCTCAAACAGTCACGTATGTTGTTGCTATTCAGACTGTATTGATTGATTATATAATCAATGATAACACAACTACCGGTTTAAATAGAAATTCCAGTAACAGCTGTTTATCATATTATTTAACTTTATTTATTTATCTATTTTTCGAATTTCCAACAGACACCAGGTGTACCGAGTGTCTTCTTGAAATTTTAAACATCATTAACAGTAGGTTGATAAGTATGATACATTAATTGTCACGAAATTCTTTCTACGCATACCACATAACCCATTAAACGCCTTGTCCTCGTCGGTTTACCAGACACATAATCATGGAACTTTCCTTTTTGACAGGCCTCTCTGTCTCCGTCGCGGATTTGCAAATGACGTCACGTAAATGTGTGACGTTTGTAATGTGATAAGGTTACTCTTCTAGCAAATGAAGTTGGTTACTACTGCCTAGTCTACATAACACACGTGTGCTAATGTGGCCGTAGCGTCATAAAACATACGCATGTTTTGGTGGAGTACGACCTATTACATAACAACAATGCATAACACACGTGTATTCATCAAAAACGCGTAACAACACACTAACCTTCGATGTTCTGACGGATACGGGTACAGGTGGCGCTGGCCTATGAATTTCCGGATGCTTTGATTCCTTTTGGAGGGATGATTTTGCGGCATGGGAATCCGCTGATGTCGTAGACGGCGACCTCGACGGCGGATTGCTTGGAAACTTTTGCGTCTGACCCTGACCTGCATCTCCATCTTCACTTGGTGCATTTCTTTCGTCATCACTTTGTTGTGGACTATTATCGGCCATCTTAGTGAATTTTTAAGAAATCGCTGAAGTTTTCCTGTTATATATTAATCACAACAGAGAACACGAAAGCCACAGCCAACACCGGCCACATCAGCGTTACTCTGGTATACACAGTGTTGACACCGATATCAGAGAGGCGGCTAGGCGGATTGTATACAGGGGAAGGAGTGCGCCGTAACATAGACTTATAGCCAGTTGGACTTCCATCCTTTGTCGGCTACATTGTAAATATACATGACATTGTATGTATACACAGAGGTGCACCGCTGATAACTACGAGACCTCCACGCTCACTGTGTACAAGGGGACGGTACCCGTAGGAGAGATCTCGTGCGATAACGAGTTCCTTTTATATAGATATAATGCGATAAACGTACACTCGGCGTCCAGCAGCTGACCTCGCATACCCTACGTGATATAGGTAAAGATATTGAAAGGCAAGGTAAAGATACTTTAAATGCAAGTGCGAACGCTTAGGCGTCTGAGTGTACAGTACGGGGTTATATGATGACCTGTTTGTACCGGAAGTAGATGTGGTCTTTGTCTACAGGATGAAATCTTAATCAATGTTTACATGTTGGCGATAACCGAGTTTTGAAATATGTAAAAGAAGTGAACCACCTGTTACAAACTGGTTGATCTATAATGACCGTAAAACGACTTTCCGATATTTCATGTCGGCTGGACGAGTCATTTAGTCAATATTATTTGTCGATAACATCATTTAATAAGCAATTATAGTACAGGAAGTGTCAAATTACAAATGGCCGAAAACTTACAGCTGGCAATACAGATCCGCGTGTCATATAAAACGGCGTTAACTTTTCTTTCGAAAATCTGCTGCTAAGTTTAAACAAGACGACCCGATGTTTAAATGTTGTGTTCTCTGTATGTATAAGCATGCTGATTAATTTCAGAAATTTTGTTTATGCTGACGAAAAATAATGTGTTACTCTTACTGAAACGCTGTAAAATAACCTGGTCAGTGATATAACTTTGATATCGAAGATACGTTATTTAATTGAATCGTATGTAATCACTGCTGTATTTTTCCATATTGTTTTTAATCAGGCGTTACAATTCAATCTTAAGGGTTCAGCGTAGCACCCTTTTATATGTAATTGTGGTAAATGGAGAATAATTACTGAATCAATCATAATATGAAGTAAAACCTAAGGAAGTCTTGTTTTCTCAGCCTACCATGACGATGAGAGGGTGTTTTCTTTAAAATCCACGATCAATATCAAGTATTCCCAATCGTCAACGCTCACAAACGGCCACCATCTTGCGAAATTCGTTCTTCTTTGTGTTCAATTACGCTATGTTAGTGTGCGTTCTGTAAAATGTTATCGTTTGCAATCTGAGTATATATAACATTACACTTGTATGTACCGTCAGTGTCTTATACTTGCATGTAGTAACGCCATGCTAGTGAATATCTTGTCAATCTAATACATGTTGTAATTGCAGCGGAACTGAACTGGATTATTCGCCGGTGACTAGGTACATTGTAGCTCAATTGGTAGAGCGTCCGTCTAGAGTTTGGAGGGTCCCGGGTTCGAATCCCGGACTGGCCGTGCATTTTCCCGCTCCTTTTAGTAGTAATAGAAAGTTACAACTGTAACGGGGACCTTTACAAAAATCCCTCTAAAGAGCTGTTTTTAAAAAAAAAAATTTTTTATAAAGTTTGTTCAAAATCAGACATAAATAGGGACCGTTGGCATCACCTTGGCGTACACCTATATATGTGTCAATCAATTGGAGACCACGGCGGCCATGTTGAATGACCGCGTATCTGATGAGCAATCTCTGAGGAAACGTCCGGAAACCATTTGGGCGGAAGAAAAGTAAGAAAAAAATAATAGTAAGAAATGCAGCAAAAAAAAGGACTTCATTACCTAAATTGTCACTTTATAATATCAAGGGCTTTGTAGGTAGGGGGTACCGATCACCTAGTAACCTGGGCTATCTTTGTGATACATTATTTTACTCAAATGTATATACAGTAAAATTAATGTGATTACAATTCCGCTTCAAGCAGAAAACTAAACCTTTCATTTACCTTCATATATGATAGTGTTATTGGTATTTTAAGTATATATTTGTCGTAATGATAGCTCATCAGAGCTAATTTAATTTACCTTCTCGTAGACTGTATCTTGTACAGTATTCTTCGAATTTTCTGTGTGATTTTCGAGATAACATAATCGAAGAAATGAATTCTGCATATCCTCAAACTGCAACGACGATGCCCGCAGACAAATACAAGCTGAGAACTCCATGGTTTACTTGCAATTGTCTTGCAAGTGTTTTTAGATCCCTCTACCAACATGAAATACTATATTAAGTGAATTCATTGCCGATTTGAACACTGCTAATGCGAATTTACATACATTACAAACAAAGCTCGCATGTAACACAGCCCGGATTATAAACATATATATATACATGTAATATATTTTCTTTCCTCAAATCTTCACTCATCATAAAAGTTAAAATTTACCACTTAAACGCATTGTCTGAAGCTTGATATGGTTGGAGTTGTATTCATTTCTGACGTGAAGTTACTGTAGTGGAACCGGTAATTCTATGTGATATAAAACGTACTCTTGGTACTATTTTGTTGTGACGGATGTGGTTGAAAGGTATCGACGCCATGTTGAACAGACAGTTAACACATTTCTCGAAATCCTACGTTTGGAATGACAGACACGGGTAAAGTCGTGTCCTCTAAATACAGTAACAACACCGAATTTTCAGTCAGATGTTTGTTAGTATTTTGTTTCACGTCCTTGAACAGCTAAGGACAAATGACGACGGGTGCCAATGGAGACAACGCCGGAAAAAAGAACAGGACAGCGAGAGTTTATACAGATCTAAAGTGTTAAAATGGGGACACATATACTTATTGGTGTCTTTATTTTCCCTCAATCAGAAGACAGAAGAAAAGGAGCCCGATTCTGCTGTTGGTCCACATTAGACGCCTCTTACGATAGCATACAGTTAGATACAGCAGGGCTATTTTTACCAAAACATGCAGGGAACTAAGATTTGATCAGCGTCATTTTGTACATCCTTATCCCGTCTTCAATAACATGAGACAAAACGCTAGAGGCAAACATTTTGGTGATGTTAGGCTGTTCCATGAATCTCGTTTGCACTTCTGACACATACACCTCAATGTCGAAAATATCAGGGAATATCTGTACTTAGGTCATTAATAGCTAAGAAATTTAGAATGTGAATATAAGGTTGGACGGCATTTTTTAATGTTCATTTATGTAACCGATTCGCGCTCATACTAGCATGAACTTGACCAAATGCTTTTCAGCGCTTTTTATATTACTCTTTTATATTCTTAGATTAATTATTTGGTCGGGTAAGGTTTTATTCACGTTGTTGCTCTTTTACATTATTTTGTGTAAAGTCTAAGATTTGATCGATACTTATTTATGTATTGTTTTGTTCTTCGGGCTTCACACCATATTAGTGCATTTTGAAAATGTATAAACAATATCTTATTTAAAAGTTTAAATACAGAATTTCTGATGTTAAAGATGACAACAAATGTAACTCGCAATTGAAGTTATCGACCCTTTAATATATATTGTTTCACCTTTGTCTTTTATGTGCGGCGTTTAACTGTCTATTGTCTATCACCCACTATAGATTCGCCGAAAGACACATACATCTCGAGTGGACACAAGTCATCAGCCACTACAATGTCGGGGAGAAAGGGCATCAGTGGATAGGAATATAGAGTCAAATCAACCCCTTATCATCCTCATGTGATGTCAGAAAATAGTTCCTCAAATAAAACTGTTGCGCGAGATTCTATGTCATATGTCAATACGTCATTATTATTCGACCAATGGCAGATGAAACACTCAGCAGATGTCTTTAGAACGCTTCATCATGTTCTGCGGTGGGTAATTACAAAACCTTGCGTCAAAGATCCGGAACTACTTTTTCTCAGGTATTGGTAATGGCGGAGCTCCATGGTGTGATACTGCTATGTTGCTGAAAAATAATCCACAGGATTCACACACAGGTGCCAGGAAACAGTTTATGACCGTCCCGAAACATTTCTGACATTGATTGCATTGGATGATAAACATGCGCATGCCCGGTGTGCAACACCACACGTGCGTATACGTCAAAAATGCAAACTCCATACCCCAGTAGAAAGCCACAAATACGCCTGTAAAAATGGCGCACAAGTTGTAGCAACAGGTCTTGGTACATCTGTAGCAGATGAACGTCACCTTCCAGATACATTCGACGCTGTGGGTACCGTACGGCTCGGCAAACACATCCTCAAACTCCACCTACAACAAAAACAACGGTGTTAGTTTTCTCACAACGTCATTAATCTCAGTCTGTTTAGGTTAACGGGTTTTTTTTAACGACCGATTATCAGCTACGGTCATTTAAGAACGAACCTCTATGTGTGTTGTGTATGCGTGTGTGTGTGCCGAAAATTGGGTATGTTGGCGTATTTGCCTCCATTATAGTGCTATCTCACTGAAATACCATGCCGAAGGCACCCATCACAACATTCCGCCCGGTCACATTATACTAACAACGGGTAAACCAGTTGTTACCACATCCCCAATTGCTGAACTTTGAGCAAGGAATAACATCTACCATATTTAAGGACTTTGGTAAGGCCCGGCCTTGGAACAGACCCAATTGCCTGGGGAAACGTTCAACGTTAAAGCCAAAAATGAGGTGTTGCCAAGGGAGGCGTTAGGAAATAAAAGGCTTTTAGAAGAAGAAACAAATATAAATATCCCAAATATTGTAACGGGTGCAGCAGATTTATTTTGGTCGGTTTTGTGACCCCAAGTAGACGGCACACAAGTAAAATCCCCGATTCTGCAGGGGGTCCACTCATTAGTCGCCTCTTACGATACATGCCGTGGATAACAGCAGGTGTATTGTTTTCTCGATCCCCGACCTGCTTGGGTGACGAGCGATAGAATTCGAACTAAACATATTTTTCGTTTAAAGACTATCTCGATCTCCATCTACAACATAAACGCAGATGTTTGAGATTGTCATTTTTCATACCTGTAATTCATTTTTTAGTTGTTACAATATTAAATACTGTAATTAATGATTCCCAATATCAATCTGTATTAGAAATTACAGTGTTAGATATTGTACATTATCATAACCGGACTTATCTGTAATAGAAGTTACAATGTTAGATATTGAACATTATCACAACCGGATTTATCTGTAACTGAAGGAACAATGTTAGATATTTTACATTATCACAACCGGATTTATCTGTAACTAAAGGAACAATGTTAGATATTTTACATTATCACAACCGGATTTATCTGTAACTAAAGGAACAATGTTAGATATTTTACATTATCACAACCGGATTTATCTGTAACTGGAGGTACAATGTTAGATATTTTACATTATCACAACCGGATTTATCTGTAACTAAAGGAACAATGTTAGATATTTTACATTATCACAACCGGATTTATCTGTAACTGAAGCTACAATGTTAGATATTGTACATTATCACAACTGGATTTATCTGTAACTGAAGGTACAATGTTAGATATTGTACATTATCATAACCGGACTTATCTGTAACTGAAGTTACAATGTTAGATATTGCACATTACCATAACCGGACTTATCTGTAACTGAAGGTACAATGTTAGATATTGTACGTTATCATAACCGGACTTATCTGTAATAGAAGTTACAATGTTAGATATTGTACATTATCACAACCGGATTTATCTGTAACTGAAGGTACAATGTTAGATATTTTACATTATCACAACCGGATTTATCTGTAACTGAAGTTACAATGTTAGATATTGTACGTTATCATAACCGGACTTATCTGTAATAGAAGTAACAATGTTAGATATTGTACGTTATCACAACCGGATTTATCTGTAACTGAAGTTACAATGTTAGACATTGTACATTATCAGAACCAGACTTATCTGTAATAGAAGTTACAATGTTAGATATTGTACATTATCTTAACCGGACTTATCTGTAATAGAAGTTACAACGTTAGATATTGTACATTATCACAACCGGATTTATCTGTAACTGAAGTTACAATGTTAGACATTGTACATTATCAGAACCGGACTTATCTGTAATAGAAGTTACAATTTTACATATTGTACATTATCACAACCGGATTTATCTGTAACTAAAGGAACAATGTTAGATATTTTACATTATCACAACCGGATTTATCTCTAACTGAAGTTACAATGTTAGATATTGTACATTATCTTAACCGGACTTATCTGTAATAGAAGTTACAACGTTAGATATTGTACATTATCACAACCGGATTTATCTGTAACTAAAGGAACAATGTTAGATATTTTACATTATCACAACCGGATTTATCTGTAACTGAAGTTACAATGTTAGATATTGTACATTATCATAACCGGACTTATCTGTAACTGAAGTTACAATGTTAGACATTGTACATTATCAGAACCGGACTTATCTGTAATAGAAGTTACAATGTTAGACATTGTACATTATCATAACCGGACTTATCTGTAACTGACGTTACAATGTTAGATATTTTACATTATCATAACCGGACTTATCTGTAACTGAAGTTACAATGTTAGATATTTTACACTATCATAACCGGACTTATCTGTAACTGAAGTTACAATGTTAGATTTTGTACATCATCATAACCAGACTTATCTGTAATAGAAGTTACAATGTTAGATATTGTCCATTATCATAACCGGATTTATCTGTAATAGAAGTTACAATGTTAGATATTGTCCATTATCATAACCGGATTTATCTGTAATAGAAGTTACAATGTTAGATATTGTACGTTATCACAACCGGATTTATCTGTAACTGAAGTTACAATGTTAGATATTGTACATTATCATAACCAGACTTATCTGTAAAAGAAGTTACAATGTTAGACATTGTACATTATCATAACCGGACTTATCTGTAACTGAAGTTACAATGTTAGATTTTGTACATTATCATAACCAGACTTATCTGTAATAGAAGTTACAATGTTAGATATTGTACATTATCACAACCGGATTTATCTGTAACTGAATGTACAATGTTAGATATTGTACATTATCACAACTGGATTTATCTGTAACTGAAGGTACAATGTTAGATATTGTACATTATCATAACCGGACTTTTCTGTAACTGAAGTTACAATGTAATTGTACATTATCATAACCGGATTTATCTGTAATAAAAGTTACAATGTTAGATATTGTACATTATCATATCCGGACTTATCTGTAACTGAAGTTACAATGTTAGATATTCTACATTATCATAACCGGACTTATCTGTAATAGAAGGTACAATGTTAGATATTGTACATTATCATAACCGGACTTATCTGTTTATCATAACCGGACTTATCTGTAATAGAAGTTACAATGTTAAACATTGTACATTATCATAACCGGACTTATCTGTAACTGAAGTTACAATGTGAGATATTGTACATTATCATAACCGGACTTATCTGTGATAGAAGTTACAATGTTAGATATTGTACATTATCATATCCGGACTTATCTGTAACTGAAGTTACAATGTTAGATATTGCACATTATCATAACCGGACTTATCTGTAATAGAAGTTACAATGTTAGACATTGTACATTATCATAACCGGACTTATCTGTAACTGAAGTTACAATGTTAGATATTCTACATTATCATAACCGGACTTATCTGTAATAGAAGTTACAATGTTAGATATTGTACATTATCTTAACCGGACTTATTTGTACCTGAAGTTACAATGTTAGATCATAACCGGACTTATCTGTAATAAAAGTTACAATGTTAGACATTGTACATTATCATAACCGGACTTATCTGTTATAGAAGTTACAATGTTAGACATTGTAAATTACCATACCCTTATCGTAACCGGACTTATCTGTTATATAACTTACAATGTGAGATAATGTACATTATCAAAACCAGACTTATCTGTAACTGAAGTTACAATGTCAGATATTGTACATTATCATAACCGGACTTTTCTGTAACTGAAGTTACAATGTAATTGTACATTATCATAACCGGATTTATCTGTAATAGAAGTTACAATGTTAGATATTGTACGTTACCATAACCGGACTTATCTGTAATAGAAGTTACAATGTTAAACATTGTACATTATCATAACCGGACTTATCTGTTATAGAAGTTACAATGTTAGACATTGTAAATTACCATAACCTTATCGTAACCGGACTTATCTGTAACTGAAGTTACAATGTTAGATATTCTACATTATCATAACCGGACTTATCTGTAATAGAAGTTACAATGTTAAACATTGTACATTATCATAACCGGACTTATCTGTTATAGAAGTTACAATGTTAGACATTGTAAATTACCATAGCCTTATCGTAACCGGACTTATCTGTTATATAACTTACAATGTGAGATAATGTACATTATCAAACCCAGACTTATCTGTAACTGAAGTTACAATGTGAGATATTGTACATTATCATAACCGGACTTATCTGTTTATCATAACCGGACTTATCTGTAATAGAAGTTACAATGTTAGACATTGTACATTATCATAACCGGACTTATCTGTTATAGAAGTTACAATGTTAGACATTGTAAATTACCATAACCTTATCGTAACCGGACTTATCTGTTATATAACTTACAATGTGAGATAATGTACATTATCAAAACCAGACTTATCTGTAACTGAAGTTACAATGTGAGATATTGTACATTATCATAACCGGACTTATCTGTAACTGAAGTTACAATGTGAGATATTGTACATTATCATAACCGGACTTATCTGTAACTGAAGTTACAATGTTAGATATTGTACATTATCATAACCGGACTTATCTGTAACTGAAGTTACAATGTTAGATATTGTACATTATCATAACCGGACTTATCTGTAACTGAAGTTACAATGTTAGATATTGTACATTATCATAACCGGACTTATCTGTAACTGAAGTTACAATGTTAGATATTGTACATTATCATAACCGGACTTATCTGTAACTGAAGTTACAATGTTAGATATTGTACATTATCATAACCGGACTTATCTGTAACTGAAGTTACAATGTTAGATATTGTACATTATCATAACCGGACTTATCTGTAACTGAAGTTACAATGTTAGATATTGTACATTATCATAACCGGACTTATCTGTAACTGAAGTTACAATATTAGATATTGTACATTATCTTAACCGGACTTATCTGTAACTGAAGTTACAATGTTAGATATTGTACGTTATCAT